AAAACCGATGACCCCTTTCACTCCCTCCGATGTTGTTTTTTCAAATGGGGGGGGAGGAACGGATTTTTTCGAGAGAGAGGATTAGGCGAAATGTCTCCGCAATGCTTTCGGGAATAATCTCCGCCTCCCAAATCAACCTGGCCCATCTGCCCTCATCGCCCAAAACAATTGCCCCAAAGCAATTGCTGCCACAGCTAGCCAAAAACAAAAAAAGGAAAGCGAACAAGTGGAGCTTGCTTCGAACAAGTGATGGTCTGAGAAGGTTTTATGAGGCGCCCCGCATCAGCGCCCACGCCCCAAAATCATCTATCCCATCTGCCATCTGCCCTCTCCAAAAATTGGTGCCAGGATTGCTAACGTCAGCGCCAGCCTCCCGAGAAAAATGGGAACTCAGATCCCAGAATGCCAAATCAACTCGGACTGCGTTGTCAACTCGGTAGACACAAGGGGCTGCATGCAGTTGACATAATGTGTTTGTCTACAGCTGGTGATTTTTGACCAGCAGTTGCAGCTGCCCTCAAAAATCAGACATCGGCCCAACAGAAGCTCAACATCGACGTCAGCCGAGGGGCATCAAGCAGGCCGGAATGTCCCCGAAGATGGCCTGTCAAAAGGAAAACACAGAAAAACACAGCATGCAAGGCATGGCCAAAACTCAACATGTCTCTCTCCCAATCCACCGTTCCCTTCAAACAAGTGCTTGCCAAATTTTACAAAATGAATGTTGACTTCTGTGACAAAGTCACCACCACGGGATGTGCCGGGCTCATGAGTTTAACGTCTGAGGCAAGGCCCAGCCTGAGATGACGGGCATGAACACTTGCACCGCGCTCGCTGCGTGGCGTACACAGTTGTGAGCGAAGCTCGCAACTTCTTTGAGCAAGATTGGCATGATTGTTTTGCTGGAGCTTGACAGTATCATCAAGCATCAAGATGATTCAAACGCTCACTTGCTGGGAGAAGATAGGTGCTGCAGTGCTGCGTCTCTGTGCCAAGTAAAGCTGGGGCGCAAGCCGGTCGGCCACAGGAGTAATAGCGGAGAATTCGACGGCCACTTGCCCGGACATCTCACTGAAATGCACGTATCACCAACTAACTTCGCCCCCTATCAATCCTAAATGCAACAAATCCCCTCACACCAGCGATGCCCTCCCCTTTGCGCTCCAAAAAGGCGTGGCCCAAACACCATTGGTCTATGTAGCTGAAGGCTGAAGCAATCACAAATAATCAATCTTTGGCAGCCCCCGCGGAAGCTGGTCAAAGGGTTTGGGCTGTCTTGGCTTGCAAGAGGTATCTCAAGGGTATGTCCAAAACAAGGTCCATCCCAAATCTACCTAATCATACCTGATCTGTTCAGACTGCTTATGTTGAAGCCCCCGGGAATTTTATTTTATAGACCTTACCCACCCCCTCAATTTTATTTTTAAGGTAGGGGGGATGGAAGCACTATTTGCCTGTCCGTCACGCATGGGACTGGCGCAAATGCAAAGGAGTGACACCTAGGCAAGCTGGAGCATGGGCCCGCGTGTGGCGTGCATGTGGAGTGACGTGGAGTGGAGTGCCGCGGCGTGGTGTGTCAAAACCACCCCCCCTTACAAAAACCCAACTTACCATGCCTGTACAGAACTCCCTGTAGATCTGTACCTCCCTTTTTAAAAGCAATTTTGGATACCCCAGCTCCTTGGCTCCCCTTGAACCACCAGCTAGCCAGTGGCTTTCCAAAGCCATCTGTCGGGCAACTGGCGCGGCGCAAACCCTACGCTCGGAGAGAACGGGACACGTTTCACTTGTCCTGGAACTGTGTGGGCCAACAAGAGACGACCAAGCAGTTCAACTGCCGACTATGGACAATTGAGAGCTTCAAATGACCTTGAGCTTGCCCACGTCCTGGCTTGCGCATGACCCTCGTGCATGCAATCTGCCAAAGCCTGGAACAAGGAGCAAACGCCAGCTCAAGAAAACTGCCAGCATTCAACGAGCGCAAGCAAACATAAATATATGTGGATGCCAACTACGAAAAACATCCTCTTGCAGCTTTAGGGGTGTTCCTCCCAACGAGTGAAGGATTCCCGCAATGGGGACACTATCAACCTGAGTTCCCATTGACCCCGCCTTCCTTACTGTCTCAAAAAGCTCGGTGTCACAGCCCAGCATGACCTCCTGCAGCCACATGTCGTCCTCAGCGCCACGACAGCACGCAAAGGCCAGCACCTGATTTTCACTCGACGTGACTCAACATGACCCTTGGCAGTCAACATGGAATGGAGCCTCTCAAAGTAGATTGGAGGACCGGAGGACCCCCAAAATTATTCCCTTGAGCCACAACCAATCTGACATACACAAATGATATTTTGGCACGCGAGCCCAGGTTCCCATTGCATTCTTGCGAACGTGTGCCCCATACCATCCCGTCGACGACACTCAAGCTACCTAGGCTCTCTAAGCCCTCGGCGATGCCAGCTTGGATGCGAGCCACCTCATCTTGTCCATCCCTGCAGCGTGGGTGGTTTGGGGATTTGAACCCCAATTGCTGGCTTGGATTGGTGGTTTGGGGGACAGTGTTTTGCAAGGCACTGTGTAATCGCTATTCATGAAAGGCCAATGCTGGGTACTTGCTCCTTCAATGTCGGTATGTTGTGGGAACATTATGGTATCCAATCTTGTTGGGGGCGTGCCATAGGGCATATTTAAGAACCTTGTTGGGGGCCTCCGGCGGTTCATGTTTGTCTGATCTCCCACGTATCTGTTTGGAGGGCTTCCTCCTCAGACCCCCTCTGAATTTCTGCTTTTGGTGATTGAAAGGGACTAGGAAGGACACCAAAAAAGAGCAACAAGTTCGGCAGTTGGCACATCCTCTCAGGAGCCTCCTATCTTCTAAGAGCCTTTCCAGGGTAGCCAGGAAACTGTGGAGAGACATGCCTGTTGGCCCATTCCCGGCCGTACCCCTGCCAGGGGAAAATCCAGACAACCCCAACGAGCCACCAGAACGAGGCTGGCCACCTTTCCGGAGCAGATTCCGCTGACCCGCGCAGCCGCCTGCGCCACTGCAGGAAGTGACGGAAGATTTGGCCTTGCCAAAAGCAAAGCGGACAGTGCCCCTCTCAGGGTTTGCCGGTTGGCGCCGCTGCTGAAAAATGGAGGATGCAGAACCGCTGTTTGAGGAGGTGCCTCGTTTTCCCGCGATTCCTCGCTGCTCAACCAAAACAAGAGGTGAACAAGCGCTGGCAGTCAGCACATCCTTTTCATTGGCTCTCGGTCGTTCAATCTTTCGCAGGCTCTTCCTTGGGAATCGTCTGCGGCCAAGGACGGCAAATGTCCACTTCAGATTTCAGGAAGCCCAAATTGAGCAAACACCACCGCTCATGGAAGCAAACCTTTGCTTGGAACCCCTGAAAAACAAGACTTGGTGCCTGTCCGGAAATGGCAGTGGATGCTAAATTCAGCCTATCGCATTTAGCTCTGAATGCTACGCGTCTGATGAAAGTGGAACTCTTGGTTTTGCCCCCAGCCAGCCTCGTTATTTTTTTTACTCAGGGGTGCCCCGTTTAACGCAGGGGAAGAACCCAGGGCCCCCTTGGAGATGCTCTTAGGAGCTTCTTCAAAGGGTCCTCCGGAAGTTTCTAATGATTGTGAGGATCTCGAGCGGCTACCGTTGAAGTCCGAAGTGGGTCGCGGCAATGCCGCCCTTGGGCGCGGACAGAAACGGCCAGCCCTCGTTTTTCTCGAGGAAACTAATCCCCCCCCCACCCCCCGCCCTGGAAAGGTTTGGCAGGATCAAACCTTTCGTCAGGAGGGGCCTCCTGACTTTCTGCACATTAGCCACGCAGCTTCCGGCACCCTCCAAGTGACCCGCCGTTCTGCGATGCAACTTTTAATCCTTCGGCTCTCCCATAGAGTTTGCGCTGTGCTTGGCCCCATATGTCTAGGACCATGCGAAACCAACAACGAGAGACTAAGGCAAAACCAACAAACAAAAGACTAAGCTAAACAACGCGTTCTTGCTTAGTGGTGCGTTCCTCCCTTGCTTTAAACAAGACACATGTTAGTGCTGCACGTCGAAAATCCCCGACTCTGAACACCTAAAAGTCGAAGGATGTGTCTGGGAACCACAAGCCAGCAAGCAGAGTTGACAGAAAGGCCTGTCCTGGGGCCCTTGGAGGTTCCGAAAAGCAGGCTCTATGGAGCCCGCGACAATGACTCTTCGTGCTGCCCGCTGGCGCAGTTGACTTCCCAAATGTAAGGCAAACCCACCACAAAGCATGGTGAACATAATGTTGACCCCGGATTCATAAACACCTGTTTATTCATATTATGGGGGTGTTCCCCTTCAAAAGTGTTGAAGCCCCACAAAAACCAGGGACATCCCTCTTTTTGCAACAGGGGTTTAGTAATCTGGGGTCAACATTAGGGAGCTTGTCCGTCTCAGGCACCTCCCACTCCCGCAGGTGCTATGTGAGTGGAAGAAAGGTATTGCTTGCCTGCGACTTGCGGTAGTTTGGAAATCAACCGCAAATCAAAGCAAACTCGAGCGAGATTTGTTCGAAATGCCAGCAAGGAAAATGGAGATGAATCAGAGCAACAGAGTTTCGCGAGCCTTGCTTTGATCCAGCTCTCACGGTCCATGAGAACTCTCGAATTCTCAGAGCAAGACGTTCGATGCATGATGCCCTCTCGGACGTCTTGATCACAGAGTCAAAGATTTGATTGCCCCTCCACTGATCGGGCCCCCCGGCCCGGCGCAAGAATCTCAGAACCCTACAGCAGGCCTCCGAAAGGAACCAAAGTCTCAGAACCTGCACGCCTCACGACACTGCAAAGCCGAGCCCTGAAGATATGAGGGAAAAGCACGAAAGATAAACACGGGGGCATTGATTTTGGCCCCTGGCGTGCGTTCCACCAGCCAGATTGGCAAGGGATCCCTTGCGTTCAAGACCTTGGCTCTCTCAACGACTGGCCCTTCTCCTAACAGGCAAGATCATCGGATGGCTGATTCATCAAGGCCTGGGTTGGTGGAACGTTCTGTGATATAATCGGAATGTCCAATTCTGTAGCTCTGCACTTGCAGGGGCCTGACCAGCGGGCTAACATGAGTTCCGAGTCGTCCAAAGGACCTGGAAATCAAGGCATGGCCGTTTGGAGCCTTGTAAATCCAGGTCAGGACCGGCGGATTCGCTTCGCGAGCAGCTCTGATCGCCTTAGCCGCGCCACTGCAAAGCAGCCGACATGCCGCCCGTCTCGGGCCCAGTGACATGGAGCTTCCCGGTTCGCCTCGGTGCACTGGACTGGTCCTCGAAAATGCTGCTCCTCATGGCGCAAGGGCTCTGGCCGAGGCGGGTTTGTCTCAAAAACATGGGGACGTTCTGAGGTGTCCTCTTGGCTTCCCTTCAAACATATCCCAAAAGGGGTCCCCCCGCTTGAGACACTCCAAGAGTACCTACTAGGGTTGAGCTGATCGGCGTGGAAAGCGTCTACTCTTGAGGTCTCGTCATGTTTCACGGGGCTTGGGGAGGGAGCCGGGGAGCTCAAATACGCCTCCAATTAGCCCTTCATAAGGGCTGACTAAGGGCTTATGTGGGCTCCCTCCCCCCTCTCCCTTCCCTCGAGCCCCCATAATATGAATGTTGGACCTGTGGTGAGTAAACCAACTCAAGAAAGACCACATGGCCATGGCCCGAAAACAGAGCAAACACCTCTCACAACGCATCTTGGCGTCACCAGGCGGTAAGACACTGGTTAAGTAGGGGGTGAATTGTGTTGCAGCTCTGTGAATAAGACTGGAGATGAATGCAAGTGCCAATTCCCTACAAGAGTGATCTGGATTCGTGAATTGGCTGCAAACCCTCCTCCCCCCAAAAACCAGCCCTAGAAAATACACGGGTTCTCTTTGCCAATGGCATATTCAGAAAATGGATTATAAGTTAATCACCATTCGTCAGTTCAAGTCTGAAAAATATTGTCAGACTTGAATTCAATCAAACATGCAAGGCATCCCTGAGCCCCCCCTAACAGTCCGTTTCTGGACCAATTATTTTACATCAACTTGGCGGAAGGTTCTGGAGGTGTCGAAGGAGTCCTCACGGTGGTTCACGAAAACACGGCAGTGCTGAACCGGGGGGGTTTCAACTTATCCTAGGCTCAGCAGTCGAACTGCCTCCATGAAAGTAACATCCTCAAGATTACACGCTGATTTGCGGTCTCAAGCTATAAGTGGCCCACACGAAAGCACACATCCTGTGTAGGTTCCTGACGTTCTGGAGCCGGAGCCATCGTCAAAAACGCCCCCAACCCCCCCCCCGGCCCATAATAACTCACCTAAGGGTTCTCAGAACAAGGACCCTCTACAAACGCCAGAGTTTAACTCCGAAGGTTTCCTTCCTGTTTCCCGTTTCCCTTTTGGTGTCCCGAAAAACGGGGCTCACTTCCTGAGTGCGGCCACAAAACGTCGAAACTTTTTGTTCACCACCCAAACTGCCCCAACCCCCGAAAGCGACTAAAAAGTCCGAAACAGAAAACTCAGGCCAGCTCGCCTTCTTCGGGTGTTTCCCCACTTTTGAGCCACTTTCTCCAGTTCTCCTTGGGGTTTTTCCCAAATTTTGAGCCACTTCTTCCCGGTCCTCCGGTCCCGGGGCGAGCACGCGCCCTTCCGGTGCGCCAGGCCCTGGATCCCCGGGCCGCGCGGCGGTCCAGCGCCGCAAGCCGCGGGCCGCGCGGCGCCGCGGTCCGGGGAGAACTCCCCGGCGCGGCTCACGGGCCTCGAGGACCCCGAGAAGGGATTCCTCGGGCCGGCTGGACTTCGGACGCCCGCAAAAAAACACATACACAACACACACCATCTTTGTTGCATTGGCAGTGGAACCCACTGAAAAACCTCAAAAAAAGCAAAAACCGACAAAAAGAGGAGCTGATTCTGGGGAAGGGATGGCCGGCTTCCAGGTTTCCACCCCCAAACCACTTATTTTGAGGGAGTTCATGAGAGAAACAAACACCACTCTCCAAAAAAAAAACATGGTTTCAGGACCTTGGTGATTCTGGTCGATGTCACTCAACTCTAACAGGGTCGCTTTGAAGGATCCCTAGTGAGTGCATGTCGCCCTGAATTTAGGGGACACTGATAAGGCTTGAGCACTCCCCAAGCGTCCGGCAGGGATTTGGAAACAACCCCTCTAAGAAGGAAGGAACACATAACAAAATAACAGTAGTAATTAATCATAACGATGATGAGGCTGATAACAATACCATATTACTCCCCCTAGAAATGATCATGCTCGTTCATGATAAATCATGACAATGTGTGTATTTCTATATATTTGCGCACTGCGGCTTTGCATATGTAGGCACATGCGTTGGTTGCAACCCTTCACCGAGAAGCTTTCGTGGGGTTAAAGTCTCAAGCCGCGGAACTCAGGGGTGCCATGGGACCGGTCTTGCACATGGCGAAACCTAGCTCAACCAAAGGTCGCAAAGGCAGCATGCGTTTGGGCAAGCCATGTACCCCTTGCAGGCTGGTTGTCCGGAAATGTATTTTTCAGCCAGGGAAGGCTAGAAAAGGGAGGCCGTGGTGCAAACTTATGCAACAACTTTATGCTTGCTAGGCAATGTCCTCCCAAAGGATGCTTGCAAAAGCGCAGCTTGGCATCATTGGAAATCGGCTCCGTTGCCCAGTGAAACCGCCGAGCGGAAAATTCAATCAGCAAAGTTGCGCGAGCCAAATGGACAAACCGAAATCCGACGTATATGAACCCCCTGTTGGTTTCCCTTTGGGTAAATTATAAATTATGGGCAATGTAGCACACAAACAACTCCGGGGCTGCTTACTCACTTCCTGAGTGGATGGGCCACAAAAAGTCTCAACGGTTTATTTAGCACCAACATGGTCTTCCCAAATTTATAAAGTCCATGAATTCAGGGAGTGAGTCTTGCACATTTTGCCAACCACCCTGATCCTCCACGTGCTTCCCCTGAAAAGAAACAAAAAACAAACATTTCCTGTAGAGATAGAATCCTATCAAAACCAACGGCATTCTGATGGAAGTGTCTTTTTAGGGGACCCCCCTAAACAAAATATGTTTCTCCTTTTGGCTTCCCTTTGCAAACACAAAAGCAGAGGTACCCTCAACAAAAAGCCAGACCCAAAAGCTCGGCCCAGGCGCCAGCTCTCCGCCGACTCCACAGGCCGCTCGCGGGCCTCGCCGAACCACATGATGGGCTTGGCCATTTCCATGGCCCGCGCCGCCTCATCGCTGCTCTGCCGAGGCGAGGCGTACCTCGCCCCCGCTGGAAAGGACCAGGCCCGGGGACGGGAGCCATGTGTATGAGAAAGCACGTGATTCGGCACAGGCGGCCTTTTAGAAAAATAGATGGGTTTCCCTGGTAAATCGAAGAAACCCCATCTAAACCAGGGCCCTCTATTGTTTAAGAAAACTTAACCAAGAAGGACACCTATGTGCTTCGGCTGTCAACAAACACACGTGTCACGTGACATCCTCTGTCTGAAGCAGGGTAAGTGTGATGTTCAAGAATGATGGCGAAATTGTATCCCTCAGGCAACCCTGCCTCTGAGCCCGTTGAGGTAGTAGATGGTCGTTTAAGTAGGGGAAGCCAGGACCCAAAAGCGGTTTCGGGAATCCCGCAGGTCGACCTTGAGCTAGGGACCAAGTCAATTACTTAAGTACAACCTTCTGCATGGCGCAGCGTGGTTTTGGAGCATCTTCCAGGGGTTCAACAAACCATGAACAAGCTTTGGAGCTTCACCTGAACCCCTGCCAAAAATGTACCAAGGGTGTGCTTGGCAAACATGAGAAGCCAACAATTGTCAGGCATGATCAGCATATATACTGCCAACTGTTGCCTGGAATGGCTCCACACGTGGTCTTTTCGGCCCGGCCCTCCATATTGTTTCGCTTTTACCAAGGAAAACCGTATGGGAGTACTTGCCAAACAGGGCTCCACAAAAATAACCGCCCCAAAATCACATGTCACGCGAACTTCTGAATCAGGGTAAGTGAAATGTTCAAGAATGATGGCCAAAATGTATCCCTGCCTCTGGGCCCATTGAAGTAGCTACCCTGTCGATGGCTGAAGTAGGGGGAAACCAGGACCCCAACAGTAGTTTCGAGAATCCCTCAACAATACCCTTTTTCGAAGTACAATCTTATGATTTGCGCCGCATCTCGCGTGCTTTGTACCTGAGAATGCGTGGTTTCCGCTTTGGCCGCCCTTCACAATACCCTCAAAAACGGTACCCACAGAAACAAGCCCAGATCTCTTGCCATTGGCTCAAAATGGTTGCAGGCGAGCCTTTTGAAGCCTTATAATTAACTAAACATCTTTGTCAAATTAGGTTGACATCGTAGGATGCTGAATATGGGTGAAACTTGTGGGATGTTGCCGAGGCTCTCCTTGTAGGACCGTGACTCAAAATGAGAACCCAAACAACGGCCATGATTTGTCGCAAAAAACCTAGCTGCATGTGCATGCCAAAATAGGTTTCACCTTGAATAGGGGGACCCCCAGAATTATGGTGTTCTTTTGACTTCCCCAAACCATCCTGCAAAAGCGCCCTCAAAAGACCGGCCAGATTTCGCAGAGCTACGGGGGCGGCGGCAACGAAGCCTGAATCGGCACGCCTGGCGCGGAATCGGCGATTCCGCACATTGGGCACGTCGGGTGTCGGCGGGTTGGGCCCTGATGCATCCAAAGCCAGCCCAGTTGCTTCGCCTCCATTTAAATGACTATCTTTTTCCGGGGACCCCTCCAACATTCCATGAAGGAAATCTTTCATAATGCAATGGCGAGCTCGTTTTACCCGCGAATTGCGAGCTCGCTATCAAATAGGCAGACAAAATAGCTGTGGCAAGTGACTGAAGAAAACGGAATCCACTCATGGTCAACCAAACTCAAACCACGAAGCACGCGCATCGGCCATGTGGCACCTCGGCCATGAATCCGTGGAGTTGCCCTCGTAAAGATGCCAGGTGGAAAAGGCAAAGCGCGTTTTTCAACAAAGGGCGCATGGAGACAAAGCTCGTAGCGGACTTGTCAAAATATGTCCAGACTGCTGGTTTACCACTAAACCGACCCGGTCCATAAACTTGGGGACTGGCTATGCAAATCCAGGGTTGAAAAAGAAGAAACATGGCTCGGCATTGTGCCATCCGGCAAACCAAGCCGTGCCAAAGATTGAATTCAAGTCTGAGGCTGGCCCCGTAAAACTCGCTCAGATTTTCAAAGGGGGGCCATCGGGGCTATCCCTGGATAAGCCTACAAGGCAAGCCCCAAACAAGGTAGCCCCAAACCATCCCCGGGCTACAGAGACAACCTGACTGTGACCCCAACAAGTTGGTCAACAATTCGTCGGCTGGGCCCTGTAAAACGGGGCTCCAAAACGGGGTCCGACATGTTCCGGCAAACCCCTGGCATAAATCATGGCCACCTTTGCGCCAATGGGCTCAGATGGGTTTGTTTAAGGCCGCATCAAGTTCAAACCAGGTCCCTCGAGTTCAACCAACCTGATCTCGGAAGACACGGTTTTTTTTCACATGGAATCAGCTCCCAGACCATCTATGTCATACAAATACACGTGCACATCTATAAATACACATTACACACATATACTTATATATATATATATTTCGAGTCACTTGTATAGATATATATATATATATATATGTAGACTACATATCACCCCGCCCCCCCCCCCCCAACCCAAGAAAGCAAAATCAAACTCCGATCTCACGCCTCGCTTGTGAGGCGAGGACATCCCGCCGAAGCGCATCTGCGGCGCTGTGGCCTTGAGGCGCCTCGAGGGAGGAGCTTCCTCCACCGTCAGCGTCTCAGGGCTCACGCTGCGGAAAGGCGCTGGGATCGGCACGCTCGCCTGGACGGGGGAGAGAGGGGGGAGGAGTTGTTGTTTTTTTTTTGGGGGGGACTGGAAAAGTGCAAAAGGCAATTTATCCCCTTTGGGTTGTTGCATGGGAACGCTCGCCTGGCTGAATGCTCAGTAGGTAGTCTGGAAAAACTGAACAATTGCCCGAGTGAGTGAGCCATATTTCGGAGGACAATGTGTCCAAAGGAGCGTGTGGTGTCAGTGGCGCGTCAATTCAACATTCCCTTGCGACAAATATCCACCAGGCTGAGTGTAAGCGCGCGGGGGGGCACTCTTGCTAACCTCCACCATGCTAGCATGAAAAACCAGCGTGCACAAAACACCAATCCGGCAACTCACTTTCAACCAAAGGACAAGGACAATGGTTGCCCGTCCAGCAGAAACCATCAGGCACACCTAGAGAGAGGAAAATCAGCCCAAAGATCCTAAAAGCTTTCATGGAATCGCCTGAGGAAAGGTAACCTTCTGGGATCTTGAGTAAACAGTGTCCGCCCCAAAAAATGACAGGTGTCCTCTTTGGGCAGGTCAAAGCCTTTTCGCAGCCCCATTAAGAACTCAAGGGGCAGCACCTTTCAAGAATCCCACAGAGGCTTTGGTGGCCCTTGCTGTGTATGGGCTTCACACCCCGCCCTTTGGGAAGAAACATTTACCAACCCGGGGGGGGGGGGGGGTGGACGCTGCTCACACTCTGAGAGAATAGGCTCCGAACTGCTCGACAACACGGCAGACAAAGCATGCCCTGGGAAGCAAAAGAAGATCTTATTCAAACGGTGCCGTTAACATGTTCCAATAAACAGGTTCCAGCTGCTCAACAAAGGACAGTCATATGTTAAGTAGCCTGGTAGCCATTTGTTGAACCCATTTATCATAGGAATCTAGTGGGGTCCCGCCAAATGCGCACTCCCAAATCCCATGCACTATATTCAGCCCCGAGGCGATCCAGGATCCTGTGAGCTTTGGTCACCCAGAAAGAGACGGTTGACCCCATATTCATCAACCCTCTGCTTTTCAATAGGGGGCTGTTCCCCTCCAAAAATGGTCCAAGGCCAGGGACACCCCCCTATTAATAAACAGGGGTTGACTAATATCTGGGCTGCCCGTTTTCGGATCACTAAACACTAAAAGGCTAAAAGGCTAAAACCAATGGGGTCACCCAGTAGGCCCATCTGGCCTCTGGAGGCGCCTCCCCAAGGCTCCAGCTGGAGGCCAAGTTCCTGGCCACCACGCGCCTCACGTTCCGGCTCCGCGCCCCGCCGCTCTGCACGTCCGCGTCGAAGGCGAAGGCGCGGTGGGCGTTGTGGTGGTGCCGGGGGCTGAGGGCTGAGGGCTCACGGCCCGAGGCGGGGGATTGCGGAGCGGAAACATTTGACCCGAAAGTGGAATTCCATGTGGTTGGCTGGTTGGCTGCTTTGTGGATGGTTGCATAGTGATTAGTGGGTTGGTGGGTTGGTGGGTTGGTGGGTTGGTGGGTTGGTGGGTTGGTGGGTTGGTGGGTTGGTGGGTTGGTGGGTTGGTGGGTTGGTGGGTTGGGTTGGTGGGTTGGTGGTTGGTGGGTTGGTTGGGTTGGTGGGGGTTGGTGGGTTTGGTGGGTTGGGTGGGTTGGTGGGTTGGTGGGTTGGTGGGTTGGTGGGTTGGTGGTTGGTGGGTTGGTGGGTTGGTGGGTTGGTGGGTGGGTGGGTGGGTGGGTGGGTGGGTGGGTGGGTGGGTGGGTGGGTGGGTGGGTGGGTGGGTGGGTGGGTTGGTTGGTTGGTTGGTTGGTTGGTTGGTTGGTTGGTTGGTTGGTTGGTTGGTTGGTTGGTTGCTTGGGTTGGTTGCTTGGGTTGGTTGCTTGGGTTGGTTGCTTGGGTTGGTTGCTTGGGTTGGTTGCTTGGGTTAGTGGCTTGGGTTGGTGGCTTGGGTTGGTTGCTTGGGTTGGTTGCTTGGGTTGGTGGCTTGGGTTGGTTGCTTGGGTTGGTTGCTTGGGTTGGGTTGGGTTGGGTTGGGTTGGGTTGGGTTGGGTTGGTTGGTTAGTGGGACTTGAGATACGTGCTTTGTTTTGTAACGTAGCACTGTTCTTGACCCGAGCACATGCCTGTTCTGCCGGCGCTCATCTTCTGACATCTTCTGACCTGAAAGCCTCCAACTTACCTTGGAACCAGTTTTCGGGTTTTCTTCCGGCGACCAAGGCTCCATTGCCTTTGGCGCTGGGTTCCCCCTTGACATTGCGGTTTTTGGCAGATGTTCTGTGTTGTGTTGATTGCTTGGGCCGCGACTTTGCTTCGGCCCAGGTCTTGGGACTTTTGGTTCCACCGCCTGGCAAGGGATTGTTGTCACCTTAGGCCAGAAGCCAAACCAATGTCCGCCCTGGCTCAGACAAGGCAGCCCCCCAAACACAAGGGAAGCTGTGGGCCACTTCAACTGGGTGCTAAGTGGGCCATCGCCGGAGAACCGAAACGAAAAATTGTTTTAAAAAAACACAAAGGAACAACACAAAAAAGAGGGAAACAAAAGAAAACGAGCCCCGCGCCTGGCACCCAAGGAGATACTCCCCTTTAATGCATCTTGGGTCTTTGGAGAATTGCTGCGCAAACGTCGCGACACCGGCGTTCCAGTCCCAGCCGCCTGACAGCAAGCCGCGGGGGGCAATGTCGTTAGCCCCAGGTTCAGGGATAGACACCAATCCCCTGGCAAACTCCATGGAGTTTGGCCCTTGAACCGACCTTATGTGCGTAGGCGGCATAGGGAAGCCAAGAGGGAGATCTGGAGCCCAGTTGCCCACAACATCATTGGGGCCTCCTATAACACATGTTGTGTCTGTGTGCCCCAAATGTGGGCCATGATCATTGGGTAGTCCACGGAAACCTCCTGTTTGCTCGTTTGATTGTTGCCTAGGTAGATAACCCCGGCTCATTTACCCATCCCCCCCAAATAAACCCGACAACCATGTCACGAACTCAGAGCCCAAAACCGAGGCGCTGCCAACAAAAACAAGCCCATTGCTCAAGTCTTTCAATGAAACCCGTCGCGCCTCAAAGTCATGGCCCCAGGTGGGTATGCACCCCGGCAGCTGCGAGGTCCTCGGAATCTGTTTTGATTGAATCCGGTTTGTGTGTAGAAGGCTGAGAGATGACAATCGTTGTCTCAAAGCGTGAGCCCGAAACCAGTTCCGTCTTTGTTGCTAAAGCCAAAGAAACACACATGTTCCAACAAGTTCCCTCAAGGGGAAGTCCAACATAGTCCAACAGTGCTCTTGTGGGGTCTCCTTGTAAATCCAGGATCGTCAGGTAGCAAGTTGCTGCCCTTTGCAAACAGTGAAGTTCCTTTCCCATGGTCACATGATCATTGCTAGAAAAACACATCTTAGGGGTGGGACCCTGAACAGGTTCTAAGCTCGCACCAAAGGAGAATCATGTGTGCAGCATCCTGAAACCCATTGGCCAGAACCCCTTGATGGCCCAAGTGGCACCCTTGCGATCAACCAAATCGCTACAGCGAAACAATCGAATTGTCAGGGTTGCTTCACAATCCTACGGGGTAGAAAGTGGACCCCTGACACGGGGACTTCCTTTGGAAGTCAAACGAATTGTCTGGGCATTTCTTCTTTTTTTTTTAACCAAACGAAAAGAAGGGACTCCTCCGTCGAGACGTCAAAACGATTTGCCCAGAGTTGTCCAGCCTGTGGTTTGATCAGCTGTTGGGAGCTACCCTCTTCCTTTCTGTTTGTGTTGTTTGCTGTTTTCTTGGTGGGGGTTGGGGGCGTGAAGGGCTTCCTGGAATTTCCTGGATGTTGCGTCACCCAGGTAGGCACAGGTTGCATGTGAAGATTCGGATGTTTTACATACAGTTCGCAGGCTAAGGCATGGCAACGCATCTGCCGGAGAGTTCTGTACCTTTGGCAGCCTAAAGCCAGCACGATTCAGTGGACAAAACAGCCCAAGCATATGGGATCCTTCTGAAAGTTGAGGACCACTCCATGTGGGTTGGCTTCTTTTCGGTTTCCCTTTGCATCACAAAGTTGGGCTGCTCCTGACAAAATCCCCAGAACCCAAGCTTGGGGTTCCACTTGCAAGCGGAACAAGGCTCTGGACAAACACCCAGTCACTACGATAAGGGGACGCCAGCATGAAAAAATGTGGGCAAAAAGTCAACAGTTCATGGAATAAGTGGCAAATGCACGGAACTGGAGCTAACTACCAATCGCTCTTGGTATCCTTTGGCCCTGCAAACTCTAGAAGAATCAATCGTTTTATGAGCTTGCCATAGGCAGTGTGTTGGAGGGAAGTTATACCCAGCTGAAGCCAAGAACAAAAGTTGGGAAGCGCTTTACAACTGGCCTAAGCCAAAAAGTGGCCCAATAATCTGACAGTCCACTGGAGAAAAGACACGTCTGGCTCCAGTAAAGTGACATCTTCACAATTACAGGCTGAATATCGCTGACTAGTGCACCAAAAGGAAAGCATCCACAAAAGCCATTTTGAGAACCTCTCAAAATATTCACTTTCAGGGAAGCGCATCTCCTCCAACTTGCCCTGCTTCCACAACCTTTTCCAGCTACTAGCCAGAACAAAAAGCCGCTTTAATGCCACTGGAAGGTTCTCCCAAAAGATCTTCAACTAAAATAGAGTCCTGTCACAGGAGCGGATGAACAATCCCTCGACTCATTCACTTGGGAGGAGGGCCTTCAACTAGCGCTCAAAGGTCAACACACAACTCCTCGTTTCCACAATGACCGGAAGAGAACCCTGAGGAAAATTAGTTGCACTCTTAGGCACATCTGTGTTCTCAAGAAGGTTCTTTTCAAAGGAAGAGCTCCAAATACGAATGCGGCTGCCCTCGGGCAAAGAGGAAGCCCAAAACAACTACATGGAGCCAAAGGAAACAGAAGAATATATATTAAGAGGGCAAAATAATAACTAATGCACTCCTCCCATCATGACCGAACGACTGGCTTCAAACTACACTGCAACCACAGTCTATTTGTTTTGGGCCAGTGCGGTACATAATAACCCTAACTGGCCCATGATTTTACCATAACCCCAAAAAGTGTTAAAACGACACCAGTCTAAAAATCAGGTGCCCAAAGGACCTGGAAATAAAAGGTTAACCTTTTGGGACCTTTACTAAAAGTGGGTCAACATGAGAAAAACCAACGGTCAAAAGGCCGGCCTTGGGCAACTAAGTAAACCAGGACCGCCCTCTGCCAGGGCTCGGCGAGGCGGAACGTGAGCGCCCCTTCCGCGGCAGCAGCTCCAATCGTCTGTAGCCCCCGGCCGCGGGTTCATCCGACATGGCAACAAGGAGCGGTTGGCTGGGAGAAAATCGAGGGCCCGGAAAGCCCAAGCCTCAATTTTCGGGGGAGATGGGTGTCTTTGGTGCTCTAGAAATTCCTTTGCTTCCCGAACAGGTCCATCAATAGATGTCCTTCCCCTACTTGCGTATGGAGAAAAGCTAAGGGCAGACCTGGCGCAATCCCCCGAAGCGGAGCCGGCAAGGTCACTGCAACGAGCCAAATCACGATGGACATACTGTGGGTGGACGAATTCCTGCACCACTTTGAAACCATAGCAAACCAGTGTTCGTTGGTATTTAGGGTTTTGTAGGTGATGCAGGACTTCGTCCATCCACAGTAGCACACTGCCATACAATGCAGCGCGCAGCAGAAGGAGCAGCAGGGCAGCAGAGGCAGCAGAGGCAGCAGAGGCAGCAGCAGCAGCTGCAGCAGAGGTAGCAACAGAGCAGGAGAGAAGACCAAGACAATCATCTTGCCCCAAATCAGGCAAAGCCAGCAACACAGCCGCTCAGCAAGCTGAGTCCACAAACCATTCGGGGCGCCATGATCAACAGTTGGATCCGAAACTAGTACCCGCATGATCCACTAGCACCCCGCTTTGCAGGGGAGACTAGAAGCAACTACTTAGTTGCAACAGGGCACCTAAAATTGGGGGATTTGGATCAGCGGAAGTTGCAAGCCAACAACACATGGGCTCACACCAATCCACGCCACAAAATTAAGGCTTGCCTCGCAGGCGCAACAGGGTGGCAAAGAAAAACACTATACCCTCATGGGCCCTGGGGATCAACGCCTACTTGGGCTTGACATAGTGCCCGTGCAGAAGGCATGGAGGCGGTGTGCTGCTTCCTAGTTGAGCTCACTGCCACGAAGACTCGCAATTTACGAGGGCTGGGCGGAGAATTTCGGCTCAATTGGGTGAAGATAACTGGCCCGACCTTCCCATTTAGGTTTTATCATTATCTTCACTCACCGGCATAACGGGAAAAGTGCCATCTGCACAGTCATCAAAATAGGGGGACCCCCAACATCAGCAGTTGCCTACCCTGAAAAACATAAACACAAGAAACAAGGAAACAAGGAAACAAGCAAACAAGCAAGCAAGCAAGCAAGCAAACACACAAACCAAGACAAATAAATCAAAGAAACTAAAATAATTAAATTAAAGACACAAAGACACAAAGACACACAAGCACACAGGCACGCAGGCACACACACACACACACGCACACATACATCTACCTCCCTGGTGTATGGACCGGGGGTAGGGGGCAGCAATCACAGCTTGGGCGCCCCTGCCCAAGGGCAGCTGGCTGCGCGGAAGGGCCCCTGGGGATTGCCTTGGCGAGGTGCTTGACCCGAGTTGCTCCACCGGAGAAACAGGTGGATCCCCTTAGGACCTCCCCCTTCAATCCAACAAACAAGTATTCCTTTAAGCTCAACCGCAAGGCTTGGAAACCCAAGCGATCAACCCAGAATCCAACCAACCAAGCCACTCAGCAACCAGCCAACGAAGCAGCCAACCAGCCAACCCCATGGAATCCACTTTTGGTTTGGGTCAAAACGTTTGGTTCCGCATCACGCCAAAGACCAGCCATGTAAAATGTCACCAATTGGCATAGGGACCAATAAGCTTCAGCCGAAGCCGTGTTGCTTTCATCCAGGGTACTGAGTGAAGAGAATCTCGACCTGGAAATACAAGGTTAACCTTTTGGGGCCATGACTAAACATGGACCAACATTGGAAAACCAAAGTCAGACTTAAGAGGCATGTGGAGCCAAAACCTATCTTTCCACATCCGTCCCTTGGGACCCCGCTGCGAGGAGCCGCTGTTGCTCCTGCAACTCGCATTCTGCGCTCATTCCATTGGCCACGGCGACCAAAGGAACTCTTCCTAATTGGCTTTGCCTTCTGCCGGATCCCTGCATTTCCCTCCCGATCCAGTCGTCAAAGGGCAAACCGTACGCTTGAGCCACACAATTGGTTACCTACTGTGGATGGACGAAGCCCTGTACCACCTAAGAAATGCTGAAATGAGAAATGATGGCTTTTTTGCAAGTACCAACAACCAATGGTTTCAATCAATGGTTTCCATTGGTTTCACATGGCTTCAAAGTGGTGCAGGGTTTTGTCCATCCCCATGGCCCAGGGATCCAGGCCTGGCATGCGAAGAAGGACTTGCCTCGTGGGATGCCGCAGCAAATGAGGGCATGGGTTTTGTTGAGGGTACCCCTTGCGCCTTGGTTGTTACAGGGACGCCACAAGGAAAAGCCATACCTGGGTTCTCCGTCTCAGGGGTATTTCTCTGTGTTTTCCGTTCCCCGGATTTTTTCCAGGCTTTGGAAGAACCTGGTAATTATTGAAACTCTTGGGTCCCCCTATTTCAACACATGCCCACCTTTGGCAATGGATAAAGCACACATCTTTGAACGCAACGCGCGACTTGCCACCGACCCGCGCTCCCAGCCTCTCTACTGGCGCGTGCGGCGACTGAGTGGAGGTGCCTGCAGCGCGAAAGAAGCTGAGAAAAGTTGCTAGGCAAGCAACGCTGGGTCTCCAATAGGGGCTCTGGAACTCACTTCCGATCGAGTGGATTGGCAAAAACAAAGTCCAAACTGTTTGTTTACCACTCAACTGTCTCCCCAAAAGGTTGAAAGTCCAGGAATTGAGGGAGTGAGGGAAGGAATAAACAGCTCCCAAGTCGCTTTCGCTATCCTTTTGGGGAAAATTACACACATGTGGGTTATTCAGCACCCCGAAAATGGCATGATGCTGAAATATGGATCGTCAAATTGCCTGCCATGTAGTAACTACAATGATGCACCATAGTGTGTAAGTGTCAAACATTGTGTTAGTGTCAAACAGTGTGTCTCGAATGTTTGACCTTTGGGTAGCATAATCATCGGCATATTGGTATGTCAAGCATATTGACATTGATGATCACCGAGTTTGAGACATGTTTTTTGAAATTGGCTTATTCTATTGCAAGCGTTGCGAGTCATGTAGCAATGATGTGCACACTTCTTTTAGTTTTTGTAAACAGTTCTTGAATATCAACCAATTCTGCATGCGGCATAACTCTCAACATGTTGGTGAAACATATATGGTAACAACAACCCGCAAGAGGTGGAAATCCACCCAAACCCATGCAGGATTGCATCTGTTCTGCGCAAGGTTCGGCATTACAGCTGAGTCTGAACGCTTAATGAATATCACAATGGCAACCCATGCCTGCCCAGATTTGCCCAGCACCAACGCAACTATGACAGTAGCTTCTAAAAGCTTACCATACCACTCAGACTCGTGTTTGCAAGTGGCTAACCATGACAAATTCTGGACTCCCACTATCAATAATATTCCGGCACTGCAATGTTCATTGCAAATGGGTGTGTCTTAAACAGGAGACAACCGAGCAACATGTGGCACTTTAAAGCCACTGGACAACGGACACCCTCAAAACCAAAAAACAGCACCCACATGATCCGAACGTGGCTGGCGACTGCGAGTTGGGCCCAAAGCCAACTGGATCGCCTCATTCGACCAGATCGATCGCTGCGCAAGGATTGACAAAAAGGAAATCGCACTTGTTCAGGGGTAAAGTGCATGTAACAAAAACTTCAACTGGCGATCCAGGTAGTGAAAAAAAAGACCTGCTACACCTCCACATGCGTTTGGGTTGTCTGTCGAAATCCTAGGGCAACAACACCGTCAAAGTGTTTAGCCCCTTGGTGCGCACCATCCTGCCCAACACCAGGCGTTGCGTTCAGCACTGCGCCTGCGGTTTGTGCCTGGAGCGGCGAATTGGCGAGCGACGCCTTTCTTCAAGAATATCCTGGTGTGGAAACCCAGAAAACACGCTTTTTCTTTGTGCCCACAAGGAAAGATATGGGCGTGAATTTTAATTAATTACCGACCCTCTGGTGAAGGTTATTTAGGTGGGGTTGTATGTCCACCAACCACTTTTCAGGGGGTTCCTTACTCAAGTTCATGGCATATGAGAAAGGGTCCCTGTGTTGGATAAGCCACACATTCAACATTCAACACTCCGGGGTGGAGATAGCTTTGTTTCTTTCAGAGCTTGAGCAGAAGTGGGAAGCATCCTATTCCACAGATATCCACAGATTACTTTCCAGCTGGGGACGGCCCTTCGCAAACCACCCTGCTTCGAGCGTTCAGGAGCCAATGCCGAAAAATGCAGAAGGAATAGACAGCCCGGGCGAAACAGGTCCCAGAGAAAAAAAATGAAAAAAACGTGGCGGAACGAGTACCGATTAATACTGGCATTAAAGCACACCAACAACAAAGACGACAAGATAAATCCCCACCCACGGGTCCATGAAGACCTCATGCTTCAATGAAGCCTCCTACACTCAGTTGAACACGGTTGAACACTCCCCCCTCCCTTTCTGTCGAGGCAATACAGGAAAGTGCTTTTTTTCTCGCTGGGAAATTTATGGCTGCCCGTCCGGGAGTGAGAAACAAAAGTGACGGCTGCCCGTCCGGGTAAGGGAGGAAAAATGTGACCACAAGCCCTGGCAATACCCAACCAATACTGGACTGGTACTAATCAATACTAGGAACATATCGTGGTGATTGCAAATGACCACTAAGCCATAGTACGCTAATATGGCCATGGGTCAAAAACCCGTACCAGAGGTGAACATCCCAATCCCCACCAAAATAGTCTAAACTGGGTGGAACACCTATCCCAAAATGGGATCCCATTGGTTTGACCCACAGCCATATCCCACTAATACTGACTTATACTGAACTAATACTTTTCACCCTTTACTGAAACAGCTGCTCAAACATACTTTCAAGGGGTGGTGCAGGGAAGCCCCAAGGGTTATGACACTATAAATAATTGAAGGCAACAAAACCTGGGCATGTAAGCCAATACTACATAAACCAGCTCTAAGAACTACTGAACAAGTAGAAAACGAATACTAAACCAATTAAGTAGGCCCAACTTTGACCCACAATTGGTTGTAGGTTTCTCCCTCTTGACCCCCCCTTCAAGGTGATTGAAATGCCCTTTTTCAACCACTCCCCTGAATGGAC